GAGAGAGAGAGAGAGAGTAACTCAAAAATGTTCTTCCAGTAATACAAGATTGCAGAATACAATTCAAGTTTTTATTCTCTGTCTTTTAATCTTAAACCCTCGCCGTCTGCCTCTCTCGCCCTTTGGGAATTGTCTCATCGGAGGAAACGTTACATCAATGCAAAAAGAAAACCCAAAACTTTTTCTAACATAAAAACTTTTCTAACGCAACTGAACAATGTGGTCGTCGTCTGTGGACCGTCATTCCCTCGGACGGGTCACAACATGACATCATACACGTCACTGCATCCTAAAAATAGTCCCGATGAAAACAAAACATTTCTCTGACAATTCCAGAAAGGGAGGATAATGCTGCTGCTGCTGCTGCTGCTGCTGCTGTTACACAACTGGTTTGATTTGTCTCTCTCATGCTGCTAGTGTCAACAACACGCAGTGGGCGGCTCCGCAACAACTGATGATGTCACGAAATGGGAAACTCCACAGCGAATGATGATGTCACCACGCGGGCAACTCCACGACAACTGATGATGTCACGAAATGGGGAAACTCCACAGCGATTGATGATGTCACCAAGCCGGAAACTCCACGACAACTGATGATGTCACGAAATGGGGAAACTCCACAGCGAATGATGATGTCACCACGTGGGTAACTCCACAACAACTGATGATGTCACCAAATGGGAAACTCCACAGCGAATGATGATGTCACTACAAGGGAACGATCCCCAGTTGCCAATAGTCCCACTCAAGAAGTACTTAAGTGTAGACACATCAGACAGAGTCAGTTCTTGTTAAGGTACATGCATGGATCAGAGAAAAGTGGACTGTGAGCACGGGGGATGGGGGCGGGTGGGGGGGTGTATGTGTCTGAGTACACACACACACTTGTGTGTGCGAGAGGTGGTATCTTTGTGTGTGTGTGTGTGTGTGTGTGTGTGTGTGTGTGTGTGTGTGTGTGTGTGTGTGTGTGTGTGTGTGTGTGTGTGTGTGTGTGTGAGAGAGCAAAGGCTCATGTGTGCATGTGCATGTGAGCAAAGGCCCATGTGTTTTAGTGTATGCGTGTGTCTACCTTTGCAAAAAGTGCACGTGTTTGAGTGCGTTTGAGCGTGTGTGTGTGTATGTGTGTGTGTGAGAGGGAGCTGTACTATACTTCAGGCATCTGGACATCAGAATAATCCGACATGGCGTCTCCCAGCGCCATGGGCTTGCGGCTGCGTGGACGATTGTCGTAGGTCAAGTCAGCATACATGAGACCATCCTCGTTCTTCTGGTCAAACGACTGTGGGGGGAAGAAGCAAAGCCAAATAATAAATAATAATAATAGATAGCATTTGTATAGCGCATATCCCCGCTCAACAGCAGGCTCTATGCGCTTTACACTATATTATTACCCCAGCAGACCATAGAACATTCCGAAACATTCTCAGCTTCCCGGGAAGCATACAGTGCAAGCAGCCGATTAAGCGCTCAAACACTAACAAACTGACAAGATCTTTCGTTGTCTATAGCCGGGTACCCATTCCCACCTGGGTGAAGTGAGGAAAATTCGTGTAAAGTGCCTTTCCCAAGGACACAACGTCGGGCCCCTGACGGGGATTCGAACCCACGACCTTACGGCTGCGAGTCAGAGAGCCTAACCACTAGGCCACCGACGCCACAAATACAAACATGAGTAGAAGTAAAATTTGACAAACCCGCCCCACCCCTCCTCCCCTTTTCTAAAAATAAGTTTAAAAGAGAAAAAAAAAAAAAAGCATCTTTCACTCACGACAGCACAAATGTTGACCCACACATACTGGAGGCCCCAGATGAGCGGAGTGGGTCATAAAGTTCTGGATAGAGGGCTCAAATTGACTTCTTCCACAGACCAAACTATGTATGAATCAAGGAGGAGGAGGAGGAGGAGGAGGAGGAGGAGTCATGAAAGTACACACAGTCGATCCTGTTCTAACATCCACCTGTCCAAGACAATCCCCTGTACAAGACAATCCCCTTTCCAGGACAATCCCCTGTCCAGGACAATCCCCTGTATAAGACAATCACCTGTCCAAGACAATCCCCTGTACAAGACAATCCCCTGTACAAGACAATCACCTGTCCAAGACAATCCCCTGTGCAAGACAATCACCTGTACAAGACAATCACCTGTCCAAGACAATCACCTGTCCAAGACAATCACCTGTACAAGACAATCACCTGTATAAGACAATCCCCTGTCCAGGACAATCCCCTGTCCAAAACAATCTCCTGTCCAGGACAATCCCCTGTCCAGGACAATCACCTGTCCAGGACAATCACCTCCAGGACAATCACCTGTCCAAGACAATCACCTCTCCAGGACAATCACCTCCAGGACAATCCCTGTCCAGGACAATCCCTGTCCAGGACAATCCCTGTCCAAATGACCAGTTACATTTTCATACTTTACAATAAAGACATGGTCCAAGATGTCCATCAGTCTAAGACAACCACGTTTCTCCTCTGACAAATTTCAACTGTATCATGAACTTAAATTATGGATGGAAGAAACACAGTGTGAGCAGCCAACCAAGTGCTCAAACATTTACAAACTGACAAGACCTCTCACTATCTATAGCCAGGTATCCATTCCCACCTTGGTGAAGTGAGGAAAATTTGTTTAAAGTGCCTTTCCCAAGGACACCCATTCGGGTCCCTGACAGGATCTGAAGCTACAACGTTACAGTTGAGACATTTTTTTAGTTTGGTTTTAGTAACTGTTTTACAGCACTTGCAACGCAATTAGGCCATACAATTGCTGAAGATTATAGAGATAGATAGCTACCATGAGCTGTCCCGCCAAGAACAAGTGATGATCTTATGACTAAGAACACAACAAACAAGACTGAGACAACATATGTACAGATGTTTTAAACTAGCAAAATCACCAAAATGCCAGTGTGGAGAGGCGGACCAAACTGTTGAACACATCCTTTAGCACTGCCAGACACACAGGGCCCTGAGACAGGCAATGTGGCCAACCCCACAGACACTACAAGAGAAGCTATACAGGCCGACAGATGAACTGAGCAGGACGGCCCAATTTATGACAGATACCAGACTTCAAGTGTGATGCGATCGAGAAGAAGAAGATATATTTCTTTATTAACTTTTTGTGAGACCACCTATGATGAGGTCACCAAGTCATCACAAATGATTTTTTGTTGTTATAGTAGATGGTTTCACGGCGCTCGCAACTGCATAAGGTCATATGAGCGCCAAGGGGTGGGCATCATCAGAGAAGTCTTTACAGGGAATCAGACTTACTCTGCTCACCTCTCTAGCTTCAACAGCACAAGGTCTGCTTCGACTATCAAGGCACCCCAAAATAGCAGGTCACAAGAGAGTGACAAACATACAAAAGAAGTAGAGGAAAATGACAATAGTAAGGATCAGGAAAGAAAAAGCAGCAGTTCCCTGTTGTACATCAGGCACAGTTACGAGCGTGACATGATGAATCAGCCCATTTACAATTCTACTGTGCTTGAACGAGAAATGTCCCCCCCCCCTTTGGGAATGGCCTAAAGACACTACAGTCAGTGGCACTGCCCCGGAGGGCCATCATATATGATTTAATCGGGTAAACTACTCACGTTGTTGAGACTCGGGTTGTTAAACTTCTTCTCGTCGGCCACCAGGTCAGGCTGGGGGTTCTGAAAGCTCAGGTTGGGCCTGTTGCTGGAAAGGAGGGGGAAATACCAAGACAGGTTTACTTTTTGTCAGAGTTTTGCGTTCTGTTTTGATTGGTAAGAGTTTTGCGGCACTTGCAACACAATAAGGTCGTATGAGTGCCGAAGACTAGAAGTGTTACAAGAGAGTAACAAACACATAAAAGAAGTTAGTTTTCGAAAGAGTTTTAGTTTAGTTTTAGTAGAGGTTTTACGGCGCTCGCAACTACATAAGGTCATATGAGCGAGCGCCAGAAGATTAGAAGTGTTACAAGAGATTAACAAACATAAAAAAGAAGAAGGGGAGAAAAGGACAATAGATGTTTCACAGGAAAGAAGAAGCAAAACACCCCAGAGCACCCGTCAACCACCCACTCACTGAGTCCGTTGAACACAGCAACACGCCACATAATTCCACTACACATCTATTACAACCTGCCACGGACAACAAAAAAGTCATAAGCGAGTCGCAAAACACAGGAACACAATACTACAAGCAACAAAAACTAAACTAGACTACAGTAAACATTTTATGGCCCCATCAGCCCGATTTAGACCCAACTATCAGGCAAGCTGCTTCAGCCATGCCAGTACAGCGAATTAGCAACAATAAAAACAATAATAACAACAGCAGCAGCAGCAACAAGAACGCATTATCATAACATACAGCGAATTAGCAACAACAATAATAGAAACAATAAAAACAACAACAACAACAGCAGCAGCAACAAGAACGCATTATCATAACATACAGCGAATTAGCAACAACAATAATAGAAACAATAAAAACAACAACAACAACAGCAGCAGCAACAACACACAATCATAACGTACACGGCATTAACAACGGCAACAACAGCAACAACATCAACCTGTTTGTTTTTGTTTTAGTAGAGAGTTTTACGGTACTCGCAACTGCATAACGTTATATGAGCGCCAAGGGGTGGATGTCAACAGAAGTCCAAACGAGGAATCAGGCTTACTCTGCTCACCTCTCTAGCCTCAACAGCACAAAGTCTGCTTCGACTATCAAGGCACCCCGAAAATAGCACAGCAGTTCACAAGAGAGTGACAAACATACAAAAGCAGAAGAGAAAAAAATGACAACAGTAAGGATGAGGGAAAAAAAGCCAGCAGTTCCCCCTATGTTGTTCCAGCACAGTATGAGCATGACATTGATAAATCAACCCATTTACAATTCTACTGAGCATAAGAACATGGTTAATATCCCCACTTTGGAAATGGCCTAAAGACACTTCAGTCAGTAGCACTGCCCTAGGGGGCGGAGGACATCAACATCAACAACAACAACAATGCACGCTAACAAAGTACAGAGAATTAGTAACAACATAATCAACATCAACATTAACATCAACAACAACATCAACAACAACATCAACAACAACAATGCACACTAACAAAGAACAGAGAATTAGTAACAACATTATCAACATCAACATCAACATCAACAACAACAATGCACACTAACAAAGAACAGAGAATTAGTAACAACATTATCAACATCAACATCAACATTATCAACATCAACAACAACAATGCACACTAACAAAGAACAGAGAATTAGTAACAACATTATCAACATCAACATTAACATCAACAACAACAACAACAAGAACATCAACAACAACAACGCACACTAACAAAGTACAGAGAATTAGTAACAACATTATCAACATCAACATTAACATCAACAACAACAACAACATCAACAACAACAACGCACACTAACAAAGAAAAGAGAATTAGTAACAACATTAACATCAACAACAACAATGCACACTAACAAAGAACAGAGAATTAGTAACAACATTAACATCAACATTAACATCAACAACAACAATGCACACTAACAAAGAACAGAGAATTAATAACAACATTATCAACATCAACATCAACATCAACATCAACTACAACAACAACAATGCACACTAACAAAGCACAGTGAATTAGTAACAACATTAACATCAACATCAACAACCGCAACAACAACAACAACAACCACAACAACAACAACAACAACAACAACAACAACCACAACAACAACAACAACACCAACAGCTGCAGCCACAAACCAATGCACAGACATAAAGTACAACAAACTAGCACCAGAAATAACACACTTACTTGTACGGTTTCTCCGATGGCTCTGAAACAAATAAACCGTAAGGGGGGGGGGGAGAAAATTTGTCATAAAACATTACACGCATGCACGTAGACACACACACACACACATACACACACACAAACACTCACATACACCACACGCACACACTTGAGCATCCAGGAAACAGCGCAAGAACTCACCCATCTCTATTGCAACAATGAAACAGAAGATGCAAGAACCCATTAAGTGCTCAGGAATAAGAAGTAGGACACAGAAATGTAAGGATGCGCACGCACGCACACGCACACACCATACAACCCAAAGCTGGTACAATGTACCAAAACACTAATTAACAGGCTTTAGTCTCAGTAAGAGATTTACGGCACTTGCAACACAATAGGGTCATATTATAAGTGCCAAAGATAAGAGGTGTTACAAGAAAGAAACAAATACACAAAAGGAGGAGAGATAAGGAAGATATAAGTTTTTTGTTTTTGTAGAGGTTTTACAGCGCTCGCAACTGCATAAGGTCATATGAACGCCAGAAGATTAGAGGTGTTACAAGAGAGTAACAAACATAAAAAAAGAAGAAGGGGAGATAAGGACGATAGATGTTTGATACGGAAGAAGGCGCAAACCACATCAGAGCACCACCCGCCAAACACCCACAATCATTTAAACACTCGGGAAAAAGAGGGAAGACAAACAAAAGTAACCACGGAAGACAGCGTCATTTGTGTCCGGCGCTGACAAAAACGCCTTTTCCTTACTCGCAGCCGTTTCCAGATAAAAAGGCGGTTTGTCAGCGTAACCATTCAGATCAAAAAAAGATTCCTTCCGAAATTGGAATTCCAATTGATACATAAACTAGTCAGTTCTACTTCAATTTTTTTTCCCCCCACACAAGCAGGGTAACTGATCAGGCTATCAATTTAGCATATGTGAGGCGGCGTGGTGGAATTGGTATCATCGTAAAGCTTGTTCAATTGTGTTTATTTGGATGTAAAATATATCCATTTATCTTGAATACAAGTCGAGATATTTGCGAATGAAGAAGAAGGGTGTCACCTGTTTTCAGAGGTAAAATTTGTGAGAAAATGGCCGCCAAAGAGTAGTTATTTCCTTAGCCTAAGAGTCTGTGGTAACTGGAAATTAACATTTATTTTTTTATGCCTTTAACCAACGTTTTTCAGAAAAATCCAAGCAGAAATGAGTTCTTTAATGGGCATGAAAGGAAGTGAACCAAAAAACAAAAATTTGAAAAAAATTCACAAACCAACAGAAAAAAGCAAGTTTCTTCACTTTGATTAATTTGACAAGAGCCTGATTCCACCATGCTGCCTCACATATATAAAAAATATTGAAAAAAAGGCGTTTTGTCAGATCTGGGTCAGATTTGCGTTGTACAGCGCACAGAACGTGATGTAGAGCGTGGACACGCGCGACATACACGCAGTTATTGCCTTATTAGGATTACCTTCAATTTCCTTCCTGGGTTTCCGCCGCTTCCAGCAGATGATGCCGATGATGATGGCGAGGATGATGAGGATGACCACGCTCACACACACCGCAATGATGATGGTCTGGTCATCGCCCGAGGTATCTGGACGGGGGGGGGGTGACGAAACAAAATGTAAACTGACGTGTTTATCTGCCAAAATACATGGATCGTCAGTTAACCTGTCCCCGTAGTTTTACGCAAGAAAAATTCTGCATTTATGCAAAACTGAGCTCAAAAATGAGAAATTATGCGATTCTGTTTATTTTTAACAAAGAATGATAAAGGAAAATAATCAGAAATTATGCAAACAAATGATCAAATTTTGCTAAATTATGCGGGGCGCATAAAACCACAGGGACAGGTTAACCTTTCTCATGGCTTCAGCTTGTGGCCTTCAAACGCTATTTTGGTGGGG